AAGATGATGTAGTTTAATGATATTATTCCGATGATATAGTTTATAATTCTGTATACGTTAAGATGATATAGTTTAATGATATTATTCCGATGATATAGTTTATAATTCTGTATACATTAGTATTGATCCTTATATAGAACAAAGCATTGATACTAGAGTTGCACTATGCTATACGTATATATATATTGATTTTTTTGGAATTAAATCTTGTTTTAGTGGATATACGTCTTATCTGTATGTTTACTATATTTAACCCTATGTTGCAGCACTATGAAAATATGAATGAAAAAATGTTTTGTTTGAATTTCTTACTTTAAAAAAAGGTCTACGTTACATAAAAAATATGTTTGCATGAAATATATTTTTGTAAGTTATAAATGGGTACTTTACCTAAACTAACCTTTTTTGATTGAGAAACCTACAAAAATAATTCCATGGTATATTTAGACTGTTGCCTGGAAGTAAGAGTGTTCAACTCCAGAACCTTTGTTGTTTAACACACAAACAAATGTGAAGTGTGATAGCAGGTTAAATTCTCATTGTAACTTATGATGTAGTTTTAATGAGTGTTGCATATTTTTAGTTTGACATTTAATTTTTATTTTTAGAGTATTTCAATTGAATACTTTTAGCATTTGTATTGTTTTACAGTGTTGTGTTTGACTTCTGTATGTGTGTATTTGTAGTTTCTTAACTTTTATTTACTCTTTATTCCCTTGTTGTTGTTTTTAACGTGATGTCTTATATGTTGTTTTTTTTTTTGATCACTAATTATATTGTTTATCATGATATTAGGGCAGGCATGTTGTGCCATGTATTCATATGATGACAGATGGTATCGAGGTTTGATCAAGGCAGTGAGCAGCTTGGAAGTCGAAGTATTGTACATAGACTACGGGAATTCAGAAATCATTCCTAAAGAAAAGTAAAAAAAATCTTTAACGTCTGTAAAAAATCTGATATTATTTTGCAACTTGACCAAACATATTTAGTGGAAAATTCTATTTCAACAGAATGATACAAAAATAAACTATTTGGCAGAAAATTCCTAACATTTTAGAAGTAATGCCTTGAATGTATGTAAAGCAAGTTATAATAATTTTCATCACATTTAGTATGATCAACTATTGACGAGATAAGTTAGGTCAGGTGTAAAACGTTTATAGAACATTTTTGCCACTGTGCTGTGTGTTTTCAATATTGAGGGATAATATTCCAGTTTTTATTTGCTACAATCATGTTATTACTCAAATGGGTTCCTTGTAATCATGATTTATAACATAAGATGCCTTAAATTAGCCTTTTATAGAGCATAGAGATTCTAAAATACTTTTTGGGAGTGTTTTTGTTAAGCACAGCTTGTTATTGAATATTTATTTTTCTAGTTTAAAGTTTATGTTTATAAACTGAACTTCAGTTTAATAAATAACCTGACAATTAAGGCTATTTTACATAATAAACAGTTTGTTATTGTCATTAGTGCATTTAAAATGAGCATCTTGGAACTGAAAGATAATTTCTGTTGTTACAGATTAAACCTTTTTTTTTTTACATGACCCACTGAAATGTTTTGATATTAAATGTTATTTATTGTTCAGGATTGCAAGTAATATAAGCATCCACGTGATGAGTGTGCATTTAAATACATTATATTGTTGAACCCACAACAATATAAAAAGAAAAATCATTATTTTATTTTACTATTAGAACTCTAAATTTTATGTTGAAAATTAAGCCTTTATGCTTATTAATAATCACTTGATTTTACATCGAACTGGTGCATTTAAGTATTTTACACTCACAAGGAAGAAACTTATCATTCTATACATATTTGAAGAACTTGTAGCATTTCGCCACAATTTAATTCTTCGTATTGTTAGCCGACACTAGGCAGCTTGTATATAATTGAATAAATAGAGTTGTTTAAACATTTGTTTAACAACAAGTTAAATTGTGGCGAAATGCTACAAGTTCTTCAAATACCTATACAATGACAGGTTGTTTTTTTTGTGAGTGTAAAACATTTAAATACACCACTTCGAATTTTGATACCTCACTAATATAAAGGTTTGGTCTGATATTTTATTGGCAGTAGTGTCGATGGTTACTGATGAGAAGTGGAATTCTCTGAAACTAGTCTGGCTCACAGGCACACTCCCCAATAGAAGAATAGACCATTCCAAACTTTTACTTGTTGTTAAACAAATGTTTAAACAACTCTATTTATTCAACTTGATTTTACAGTTTTAATCGACTACGAGAGCTTCCCATCCAGTATTTTATGTTCCCTGTTCAAGCACTCCACTGTAAGCTAAACAGATTAAGCCCAGTGTCAGACAGTTGGTCTCAGGAAGCACTTGTAGAGATGGTTGACATTCTGTTTAACAACAGCTTGAAATTCTGGGCTAAAGTTTGTGTAAGTTTTTTTTTTTTTCATTTCTTTAAACTTATTAATTAACACCTAGGTATTGTGACATAACGTTTTGATCTCCAATAATTTTGTGGCCCAACATGGCCAGGTGGTTAGGGCACTCGACTCGCAATCTGAGGGTCACTGGTTCGAATCCCCGTCATACCAAACATGCTCGCCCTCTCAGCCATGGGGGCATTATAATGTGACGGTCAATCCCACTATTTGTTGGTAAAAGAGTAGCCCAAGAGTTGGCGGTGGGTGGTGATGGCTAGCTGCCTTCCCTCTAGTCTTACACTGCAAAATTAGGGACGGCTAGCGCAAATAGCTCTCATGTAGCTTTGCGCGAAATTCAAAACAAACCAAGCCAATAATTTTGTAATAAAACACCAAGCTAGGATACCTATTTTACTATTTATTTTATTATTTTATACTATTATTTTACTAGCAATTCAGTTGATTCACTTATATAATACTGTTTTCAGCCATGTTTTTAGTAGTTAGCCAACTGACGATTTTTGAAATATGTAACTTAGATGATCCAAAACCTAGTCTATTATTTGGTTGATTGACCAGAAACCTTTCCTCCAAACTTGGTGTAATATCAAACAGTTTTGACCAGGAAGTGGAAAAACCCGATATCACCTGAAAGCTCTCGGGACATATTCGTGTCGGGTATAGTGATAGTAAATGTGTAAAATATTTCAAAAATGACCTGGAAGGAAATCTTAGCATTCTAATTCAGTGTCCTATTATGTTCTAATTCAGTGTTCTATTATGTTCTAATTCAGTGTCCCATTATGTTCTAATTCAGTGTCCCATTATGTTCTAATTCAGTGTCCCATTGTGTTCTTTGTTACAGGATCCAGGTCCACCATTAGAGATCCATCTATACACTAAGAACCTTGAACAAGAAATGACTTTAGTGTACCAATCTCTCATTGACAAAAACCTCATGAAACTTGACAGTGCTATTGTACAAGAAATGTGATGAGATTGTGGTCGTCAACACCTTGTGCTGAGCTTCAAGCATGTAGGATGTATATATCAGGTGCTTTAGATGACACATAAAATCTTCTGAGGTGCATGTGTGTCTGTTTGTGTATATGTATGAATTTACAAACACCCGTGAAGGTTGTATGTGTTATCTGAGGTGCATGTGTGTGTCTGTCTGTTTGTGTATATGTATGACTTGATACACACACCTGAGAAGGTTGTATGTGTTATCTGATACCACCATATACTGAGCTTCAAACATTTAATTTGTATGTGTGTGTGTGTATATATTATATATATATACACAGACACACATATGTATAGACACACACCTAAGAAGGTTGTATGTGTCATCTGGTATGCAATAGGTAATTGTGTACAATTGTACTAAAATTCCAATTATGATTCAGGATTGAATGTGCACATTCGTATAACAAAGTTTTGTTGAATGGAAC